AATATCCTACCATCTGCTCAGCCTCTGAGTATTTCCATTAAGAGGACAGATACTGTAGCTGCGCCACAATGCGCCATAAAGAAAAACCATTCCCTAAAAGCACAGAAAGCACTGCATGCATCAGCTGTCAAACTTGAACTTTAAAAATGGCAAACTACCAGAAAAAGCCATGTTTACAGAGTTCTGAACTTGAAGCCGTCCCGGGAGGGTTTCGTGTAGTGCATTCGTACACAAACACGAGGGTAGGACACGCTCACCGCCGGCTCGGCCAGACTCTGACCAACTCATTCCACACCGCTGGGTAAATGTTAGCGTCGCCGTTCACAGAAGTCTCCGATGAGGATCCCTTCACTTCTACGCCACTGTGTTGCGCCACAATTAACATTTTGCTTTTCTGGTATCAACTAAATTCACACAATGTCTTTTTCCATTATATGAAAAACAGCGAGTTTTGCAAAATAAGGGAGAATATAAAGTTCAGGAGCCTCCAGCTTGGTTACTTAAGACGCGCATTGTGCTGCTGCGATCCATAGGATTTGAATCCACCTGGAGAGTTTTTTCTTCTATATTCTGCATGAGAACAAGTTGTACTGCATCTACTTTATCCAGCAGATGCTCTGTCAGATTGGGATCTGGGGAATTTGGAGCCCAGGTCAACGCTTTGGGCTCTTTGTCATGTTATCCAAGCTGTTCTCGAGCAGCTTCCGCAGTGTGGGGCGGCGCATTGTCCTGCTCGGTTTTGTGTAGCAGCGTTTAGGTGGGTGGTATTTGTCAAAGTAAAAGCCCGCGTGAATGTTTCCCGGCAGAAAATTGCAGCGTTACTCACCTCATGTGTTGTTATTATTATTAATGTTGTGGCTGATGGGTTGAAATGATGGATATAGGTGTTTCAAGCGTAAAAAAACACCTTAATTATTCCACTTCTTACAAATTAGAATTAGTATTATAATATATTCTGACACTGTATCACTTGTAAATTCTATCTTTAATGCCAATGTTTGTTTTTCTGTGAAATTACTGTATGTTTTTTCTTTTTTTTCCCATGCAGCGAACTCATGACCTCTTATTTAAATAAATGAATTACTCTCTAACTGAATAAATTCTGCTCTTGCCTTTCCTCTTTTTCTCCTTCAAGCAAGTTTATTACTAATAATAGCAATGAAACCTTTGCAGTAAACAACAATCCACATCGCATTGTGGGGAAACAAATAATGGAAGGGCAGGCGTCAACGTAAAGAGCGTATACAGTTTTACGTGTCACTACGATGCTGTGTAGTGCAGCCAAGTGGTATTCGATGAGCCAAGTGATGAAAAACGAAGGCACTGGCACAAAAAAACATTACCTGTCTGAAATCTCTAACCTGTGTTGGGGGGAATAAACCATCTGACATCCTCTCTGGCTCAGCAAAGAACCAGACAAAACACAAGGCAAAATACAGCCTCGTCTCCAGAAACTTCAGCCTCTGACTTGAATTTAATTCGTTGCAAATGCATTTCAACTGTCTTAAGAGCAGAAGACAGCCTTGAGGGACTGACTCTGATAATGGATTTTAAGCCCTCCGTGTGGCATGTCGCTGCTCTGTGTTAGCACCCACACTGACAAGGGTGGTTAAAATAACACCGAACCCGAAAGACTAAAGAAAGGAAAATAATACCACTGTGTCTGTGATCCTCCTGCGAGTTAATCTTTGAAGACGAGAAGGCTTTGTCAGTCTTTTTTTGTCCGCGTATTAATCAGCGGCACACAGAGGCCGCTCGGAATTATTTTAGAGTAATGTTTCCTCATAGTTCCTGGAAGTGTGAGCTGACTATCCCCCCCTTTATGCGAGGACCAGCGGCCACATGTGTGCATCCTTTCTTTCCTTAGTTACTGTGCAGGTATTTCTTTCAGCCTGCATATTTTTGATGGTCAGCTGTGGAAGAGGGAAAAAAAATGGTGTCTCTGTGTGCGATGTGTGAAAACTGTTATTAAAATACGGCACACGGGGAGCCTGACATGTGATAAAGTCTGACAAACAATCCAAAGGTTATTAGTAGGTACTCATTCATATTTTATACACACTCGCTCCACCATCCACTACTTCCCACCTCTGGGTCTAATAAGGATTAATACGGCATGGGATTAGCATTAGAAACTGTCTGTTCAATTTCAGTCTCGGGTCTCTGTATAGGATGCAAATGCTAGGCGAATACATAAAACATGGCCGGGACCACGGATTCGGATGTAGCTATAAATTATTCGATCGATATCAGCTGTTTCATGCATATAAGTTAACTCGATCGAATTTGCATTTGCTGTAATATAACAAAAAAACAGCTTAATAAATGCACTCTAAAAGGGCTTAAGATAGGAAGACGACTTTTTTTTTTACATTACAGCATAAATATATATATATATATATGTGAGGGAGCACATATTGAATTTCATTAAATCAAATAGTCCTGAATTTATGAATTCCATTACGATAAATTGGGAAATTGCGTGCAAGAAAAAATAAATGTCGCTTTGGAAAGTTCACGAAGGCTTTGCAGCCGTTTAATGTCACAAAAGCATGAAGTCGATGCTTCAGTTGGACGTCAAGGTGCACCATCACTGTTTGTGCTCTTTCTTTTGCAGCTTCTTGCGCAGAAGAGCATCAGACAAACACCTTTTATCACCACAACTGTCAATATATCCATCCATTTTCTATACACCGCTTAATCCTCACTAGGGTCGCGGGGGGGCTGGAGCCTATCCCAGCCGACTTAGGGCGAAGGCAGGGGACACCCTGGACAGGTCACCAGTCTATCACAGGGCTACACTTAGAGACAGACAACCAAGCACACTCACATTCACACCTACGGACAATTTAGAATCACCAATTAACCTCAACATGTGTTTGGACTGTGTGGGAGGAAGCTGGAGAACCCGGAGAGAACCCACGCTGCACGGGGAGAACATGGAAACTCCACGCAGAAAGATTCCAGTGCCCCCACTGGGACGCGAACCGGCAATCTTCTTGCTGCGAGGCAACAGTGCTGCCAACTGCGCCACCTTGCAGCCACTGTCAATATATTTGGGACAAATTAAGAAAACTACCAACATCCAAAACACTTCACTCATTAAAAAAAACACCACCACAAGCTACTAAATATGTCAAGAGTGGAAATAGCCTTGATTCTTGTAAACGATGAGCAAAAAAATGATTCAGGTTTATTAATGGGGATTAATCGTCATGGTAACACAGTGGGGGGTAAATTGTAGGGAATGAGTTTGTTGAGAGGCTGGGAAAATGATTTATGTAGGGGGGTAAAAAAGTGATTAAAAAATACTATGAGTGATGGAAATATTAGCAGCATATGCTTTAAGTTTATTCTCCAAAGTGGCTCAATAAGTCTGTCAGTCACGGTGCAAATTACCGCCTAATGACGGCGTCGCAAATACATTTGTTTTGTTATTCATCATTGGCGATCAGACGAAATCACAGAAGGTTGTGTGATCAGCGCTGCAGAGATGCAGGAAAGGTTCATTTGTGAATATTGTAAACAGGAGTTGCTGTTGGAGAGTCGCAATCCTTATTTCAGCTAAGAGATGAGGAAGAGGAAAAGGAAAACAAGAAAATTGCTATCGCTGTTTGTCTTTGGTCGACACAAACAACAAAAAGACCTGTCGATTTATAGCCCCATCCCAGCTCTTAATGACTCACCGAACCATCCTCCAGCAATTGAGATGGCTCATCAATTTAATTACTTTACAACGCAGGCCCGCCCCATGCTGTCAAAAAGCCTGGCATTGGAAGTTTCCAGTCACCCTGTACTTGTAAATATGCCAGAAGAAAAGCTCTCTTTTGCACTGCGGTTTACGGGGTTACGTTTAAAGTCAAACTAAGGTTTATGAAGCAAAGAGAAACAAATGAAGACGCCTCTGTCGATGAATGAACCAAATATAATACGTCTTCTACACAAAACAGTAGCATCCAGAAAGAGGAAAAGAGGCATATTGCGATTACTAATTCTACCTCTAATGGGTTATTTCATGTAGTATCATGAACAGCAGCAGTGAACTCTCTGTGTACAGTGACTACAGCATCACAGCTTCCAACGCCCAACTGCTTTCATCCACCGACCCCGTAGTGTCCGCACATACACTAAAGAGCACAAACACCAAAGCATACTAATTATGGCTGTAAGCGGCACATAAAACATTATTGATTGCTCGGAAAATATCACAAATGCCAACTTAGCAGATGGTATGTAAATTTAATGAGTCGCGTTATTGGGAAGGAAACATTAAAAAGAGGCGATTATGTAAATAAATTTGAAAACTTCCGCCGCGGATCCCTCCGATATTTAATCAGTCTTGTAGGTCCTGCAATAACTACTAAGCAGCAACCAGCATTATTTAAACAACTTACTGTACTGTACAGTGGAACAGGTGTTTCTTTTCTTTCTTTCCTTTTTTTCCCTCCCCGTTAACAAGTGGATATCGTTCGTGGCGCTCACCCCTTTATTCTGACACCTTAATTTGAACCTACGGGAGCCGTTACGCATGAGATACAAGCCTGGGATGTTTGCATGCACAGCGCAGCTCCAGCGCGTCTCGCCAAACTAAAGCCTTGAATCCAGCACTGCTAGTGTAGCACAAGCCTGCTGTCCCACAAAAAAATCTGTTGTCAACACTCTGTGCTAGCCAGTTAGCTGCAGCTCAAAGCCAGTCCAGCTGACAGCATGTCTGGATGATAAGTTGAAACTACCAAGGCGTTAAACAGTATGTCTATCGCTGGCAAGCCCACCTGCCACACAAACAAAACATACGATTACACAGAGAGCTACACTCAACGGAGCTGCGTGTGCACTTATTGCACACATAAGGCAGCGAGTTATTAACAAAAACTTTAATAAAAACCCAGGTTTGCCTTAAAAATGACAGGTGACTTTACTTAAAGAAACCACATCTGCTGCAATTTGGAAAAAAAAAAAACCCCAAAAACAAAACACAACAGCACATGGCGCCTGCTTACCATGCAGCCGGATGATTCGAGCTGTCGATCAGACACGCACTTGAAATTCTTCTTGCAGCCGCCGTTATCTTTGGAGCAGTCACGGACGGGCCCGAAAGATGCCAGCAGGTCCTCCACTGTCTCGAAATACGTCGACATCATGGCCTCTTCTCTGGAATGGAAGAAAGAGCAGATTAGAAAAACAAGGAAAGACAAAAAAAAGAAAAAGCATCCTTTACATGCTTTCTTAGTGTAAATAAGGACACACCTGTCCCAAGTGATGTGGAGTGAGAATGAATTCTTAAGCAGCCGAACATAATCCCCCACCACCTGGAAGGCAGCCTCTCATAACCTCGCTGTATGGTGCAATTAAGAAGCTATTCATGCTTGCACACACAAAAAAATAAAAAATGGTGCCGTTTTGATGGCTTTCATCTCTCCACCTGCAATTAATGGCCACTTGTTATGTGTTTGGTTTAATTTTTTGCATCAAAAGGGGTGTGAAAGTCAGCTTCATGACTAAAACAATCATAAAACGATGAGTGAGACATGACAGGTTTCCTTCTGTGCCTGACGGTGCAAAGGGAAAATGTTAAGAACTCTTATAGTATTGTAAAATTGATATACCCTGAAGCATGTATTTTTAAAAACGGCTGAGTTTTAATGCGCAGGTGGTTCACGGTGGGTCGCGTCTGGGTGCACCGGCAGTGGCACAACGTGTTGATGTGTTGATGGGAGGCCCAGGGAATCGGCATTCATCATTCAGAAGTGACCTGCGGAGTTTTTCCACCTCTAATAGCAGCACGGAGCAGCTGTCTGTCCGCGTTTGTTGTGTTTTTTTAACTTAAAGTTTGAATCCCCGCAAAGTGTTTTTCTGATCACTCAATTTGTTCAACCTCAGCGATACGCACAATGCATGTTGGTGACGAACGCTGAATGTAAATACAGGTTTTGTTTTGTTTACTGCTGAGAAAACTCCACGGGGCAGCTTTCGCTCTCTGAACTAATTCAAGGCCGAAGCATCCAGATCTGCAACGGCGAGGTGACAAAACAAAAGAGTAAAAAATCAGAGAAAAGCACATGAATACACACTCGAAGATAAACACCGGCAATAAGAGGTACATAATGGAGCGAAATTAAATCATTTTTCATTTCTTTACTTCAAATTTATTCAAGGAGCATTTTAATGAATTTTTCTGATTTGCACAGCTCAGAGGACTGGATGGACTCTGTTTCTCTGTGAGGCTGCACTCAGGCCCAGTGGTGGTTTGAGCTAAATGCTAATGTCATTATACTAAGATGCTCTGAATGGAAATACTAACATTTCCATTTGTAGCAGTTCACATTTTGTGTGCTTCTGTGTGACAACTAACTAAAATTTTAATACGATTTCGATGTGATAGAGTTGTGAGATGAAAAGTCAATCAAAGTCGTTACTGAGAGGGGCATAAATATCCATTTCATAGTCGGGACATTTCACGCAAAAGTCAACAACATGATGACGTTTGAGGTTCCAGAATCACCAAAGTCAGTAGATTTTTTTATCCTCTGGAAACCATGAATGCTTGTGCAAACTGTCAAATAGTTTTTAAAACATCCTACTGAGGTGACCTGACCCAAAGATGGATGTTTCAGTCCCTGGAGCCCCGAGTGTTGCTACAAAACTGTCACCAAAAAAGTTGAGAAATGAAATGAGTTCTGCTTAGAGCACCACTTGTTATTGTATGTGAATGTGTGCCAGTCTGCCAATGCTGCTGCTGCTGCTGCTACAAAAAGAGGAAACTATAATTTCCAAATCTCAATCTTGGCACTTTCTCTGAGAAATATTAGCTTGACCGATGTCCACTGTGTTCACTTGAGCATGCTCCGCCATGCCTGTACACCCAGTCCTGTACGCCTGCTGTCAGAGTGGCAACCCCTGTACTTTTGTTTGCGAGAAACAAAAGCACTGTCTCTTGCAATGGGGCCACAGGGACCAGAGTGTGTTGTGAGGGTGACTTGGCTCTACAAACAGCAACAGGATCCTGAATGATGGGAAGACAGATGAGTTGCTGTGCAAAGGGAGATTTTTGGAGGATTTTCACTGTCACTGTTTGTGTACGTCTTTATGGGCGCTTATGTGGCAAAGTCATTTTCAAACATGCTAAAAATAGGTCCACTGAGCCAATAATGCACATATTGATGCTACTCCTAATGTAATTAAAATGTCTCCGAGTAACCCGCGCTTAAAGTGGATATAAATCATCGCAAGGTCATTGTTCTTGCAAAGTTTAAGCAAAGGAGGCAAAGTGAAGCGTTTCTGTGAAAAGAATTGAATATCAGGACCTTGTCTTGACTTCTGGAAAAGATGAAAGGCTGAGCCTTGAAATTAATCAAAAAGCTACGAATGCTACCAGTACAGCATTGACAAAATACCTTTGAAATAAAGTATATCTCATTATTACAAGCAGGGATGCGCTGGTAGGATGAGAGCGGACACCATCTATCTACCTTTTCATTTACAGAATATCTTTTTTATCTTTTTCTCGGTGTCTTCCAACGTGTGACCAGCATTTAAAACATCGCTTAACACCTCACGCTGTCTTTAGTGAGCGACTCTTACAGCTGAATGTTTGGTTTTTATGTTAGATTTAGGGCACACCAGCGCGTGACTGACACATCTTTCTGGTGGCGAAGTATTAGGGCTCACTGACTAACACATCAGGACTGTCCTCTTTGCAAATTCAAACCATTTCTGACACACTGCAGCGCTGATAGCAAATCACTGACTGTTCTCACTGTCACGCTTGGGAATGTGAAAAAAAAAACAAAAAGACGTGTATCAGAAGGGTTCAGACGAGTAACACGTCAATCTGAAATGTGGATATTCTCCCTTTTGATTCATGGAGCCGGGAGTTTATTTTATAATTATTCTATTTTGTACTTTTTTTTTTTTTGTTATCTAAGAAAAAGTCTATCCTTCTGGCTATTTGCACTTCAGTTTATTAATGGCTTCCTGATTAACTATACTTAAAGCCATTTAGTCTGAGCTGTAATTCAAATGCAGATATGAATAGCAACCAAGCCAAGCACTAAGCAACTTTTTCAAGTGTGTTAAATATTTTAGATGTAATAAATATTCCATTTGAATAAGTCTGTTGACCACACAGGGGGATGGTGAAATGTTATTCACAATTAAAACAGCCCAAACATTTTAGGTCCCTTTGTTTAAATACAAATACTCCCCTCGAGAATGTGATAAAAGACACGGATACATTAAAAGATATTTGACGATAACAACTGACTGTTTTGCTGGATATACAAGGAGGTCTGCTGTAGACAAGAGTTTTGGAAGATATATTCTTCAGGCTAAATAAACAGCATTTGTAAAAAAAAAAGGGTGGCTAATTAACCTTCTGGTCAACCAGTCACAATCGCTAGAGGATATTTCACATTTATGCACTTAATTATATTCATTCAGGCTGCTTTGGTTTAGCATTTCTAGAATTGCCACAGGATACATGAGCTGAACTCACTGTCCAAACAACAGAAAATGACTGTAAACAACTGAAAAGTTCACATTTGTTTGTTCTGCCGCATTTATTCAGACAGAAATATTATAGATGATTATTGTTGCTTCCGGCAACATCCATCAATCTTAAGCAGGAACAATTACAAAAAGAAAAAAAGAAAATGAAAACAGTTCAGCCGCTATAATATTTATTTACGCATACGCTTAAGTCAGTCAACAAAAAATAAAATAAAATAAAAAGCAATCCAGCATCCAGAGCAATTGTGTCCACTTGCATCAAGAATCAGCAAGTGCTCCAAGACATGCTGTGTCTGTCTTAAAGTTTGGTCTTTGGTTGTTGTGTTTGACAGTGTGAAGCGTCTTTGAGTGTCCAGAAAAGCGCTCTATGAATCTGTTCAATTATTATTATTTTATTTTCTCCAAAAGACTGAGTTCATTGTTCCCACAGTAAGCGCCTGAATTATCTCAACTGTCTCATTGAGGAAGAGCAGGAGGTTCAAACCAAGACTTTCTTTGATCATTTTAAAATTCCTACCAAACAGATCTTTGTAGAGGAACCTCATCTATGTTATCAGTGTTGTTCTTTTGGTCGCTAACCAGTGTTCAGTTGAGTAGGAAATAAGACTCGCCTGATAAAACAAGACTCACAGCAGCCTGGACAGAAGATATGACCAAACAAGATTGGGCGGGGGCATTGCTGTTTGAGTTGTTTTCCTCATTTCTACATACTCCTTTGAAAACCCACTATATTAAGATGCCAAAACATCTGATGCTAACTGCTTAAGACGGCTCCTCTCTCCTCCTCGATGCTGCCAAAAAAAAAAAAAGACCAACTGGCCTCAAGCTTGGAGATACTGATGTGCTACAGCGTGTCGCACTCAGCTGCAAACCCACCGACGTGCATCATAAATAAACTGACCAATGGAGCAAGGAAACAAACGTCATCCAAACAGAGGCCCCCCCGAGCTGCGCCTGAATAGAAATCAAAACCAGTAGAGGGAGTCTGACGCCTGTCCTTGAATTACCGGCAAAAAAAATAAGAGACACATCCTTCTGAACTGAGTGGTTCCCAAAAGGGACTCCGGAACATGAAACTAGAAAGTGCATCTCTCAGGAAAGAAACATTCCCTTCTTCCAAACCAAAAAAAGAAGTAGTGATCTGCTTTGGGCGAGCAAACATGTCCACTGTTCCAGAGCCAAGGACCTTGCGAGTCAAAAAGGTAGAGATCACTGCAATAGCTGATGGGCAAAGCTGGGCAGATTTAGTCACCGCTGACAGAGCCAAGGAAACTCGCCCCTTAGAATATAAAATGCAATCACTCTTGGAGGAAGGTTCCTGATTTGGTGCGTGGGACTGAGAGGTACCAACAAAATGCAGTTGGGCTCACCATTGTGCACAGCTTTGGCTCGGGAATCAAACCCCCCCCTTGAATGATGGTGGACTCGCTCCTACTCAGGATTTGTCCAGATGTGCCGGGCTGTTGTGTGGAACTACTGACAAATCACCGGCTGGCTGGCTGCAACACTTGGACTTTCTCCAGGAGGCTGAGAGGGTCACCATCATGTCACTGCGTAATGCGGAGAGAAAAACTATTACTGTTGTTTGCGCCTATTTGTGGACGGCAGGGCGACAGCGGCTAGATGCTGCAAAAAAAACCTGA